AACCCATTACTTCAGGCTATGCCTTGAGCGTTGCTGTATTATCACTTAGACTACCTGGCTGGATTATTCGAGCATTGACACTTTGTCCATAGTTTTGCTTTGAATTAAAGCAAAGTGTGACTTGTCATTTCATTAATTTTTAATGTCAATCAGATTGTAAAATTGCTTGTGACTGTTTTGAAACAAAATTATTTTAGATTTAATAATAGATTTTACGAATAAACAGATGGTTTAGCTATGGGAAGTCCACTTTCGGCAATTTTGTCAGAAATATTTTTACAGCATCAGGAAAAAGAAATGTTAAAGAATTTAAGAAAGAATCATGATGTAAAACTGTATGTTAGATATGTAGAAGACATTCTCGTTATCTTCAGACAAGCCCAGGAGCAAGAGCACGAAACGATGATGCAGAACAGCCACCACTCGAACCTCACCTTTACCAACGAGTTTGAAAAAAACAAAAAGATCAACTTCCTGGACCTCACATTAGAGAGAAAAGACAGCAAGATAGAGTTTGACATCTACAGGAAACCTACGCAAACGGACACTACAATCAACAGCAAGTCTATCCATCCGACAATCCACAAGTCCGCAGCCTTTAGATCTATGCTGTTCCTAGCCTATAAGATCCCACTTAGCCAAGCCAATAGGAAGAAAGAACTAGACACCATTAAGAAGATCGCTCAAGTTAATGGATTTCGAACCAAGATGATAGAGGACATTGCAAGGAAGACGAGGAGGAAAATCGATAGGCAGAATACACTACACAGCAGAACAACATTAGAAGAAATAAAAGAGGAAACACCAGATATATCACATTTAGCTACACGGGGACTACAACACAAAGGACTGCTAACAAACTCAAGAAATACGGAGTTTCAATAGCCTACAGGACTCAGAACACCATCAGTAAAATACTGCATCCGAAAATAGAAGATTTCAACAAATTCGACGCTTTGGGCATCTATAAAATCAATTGTAACGATTGTGATAGCTTCTACATTGGACAGACTGTGAACTTCGTTAACCGCTTCAAAAACCACATATCTGCGTGGAGGAACAACAAACGGGTCGCCGGAATTTTATCCCCCTGGGCAAAGATGACGTCACTATGACGTAGTAACCTGAGTGGCCAAAAGTTTGTTCGCGGCCGGAATTTTACCCCCGCGGATTTGGAAGTCTAATGAAAATAGTCAGAGCGTGATTAATTAGATTAGCGATAAAAACCGGAATTTTACCCCCTGTCCATATAACTAGCGTTTAGGCAACTGAAGATGTGCGGGCCGGATTTTTACCCCCGGAATTTTACCCCCCGGAATTTTACCCCCTGGCTGATTTTAGAAATTGAATGATTGATTTTCTTATTTCTTTTTTTAATTAATTGTAAACATTTCATTATTTAGTAGCCTATCTTTATTTATTTATTTTGTAATCTCAACTAAGTAAACAGAATTCGCTGTTTTATTTTGATCATATTAACCAACAGTTGGCTTCAAAGATCGAATCCTGACACTTGAATCTCAAAATATAAATTATATTAATATAAATATATAAATTAAGATAGATTTAAGATATAAATTAAGATTAAATATATAAATTAAGTGTTCTAATAATAGTAATGGTCGGATCCGGATATCGGACTACCGGATCCGCCGGATCCGAGCTAGAACCGGCACCGGATCGGATCCAAAAAATTCCGGATCTTGGGCTGGATCCGGTTTTGATGGATCCGATTTTTAAAAATTTTTTCCCGATTTTTTCCTAACACAAAGCTGTCTGTATCACTGTACAACCCCGATTTTTTTTTCCAACACAAAGCTGTCTGTATCACTGTACAACACCGATTTTTTTTACTAACACAAAGCTGTCTGTATCACTGTACAATCCAGATTTTTTACTAACACAAAAAGCTGTCTGTATCACTGTACAACACCGATTTTTTTACTAAAACAAAACTGTCTGTATCACTCTACAACCCCGAATGTTTTTACTAGCACAAAGCTGTCTGTATCTCTGTACAACCCCGATTTGTTTACTAAACACAAAGCTGTATGTATCACTGTACAACACCGTTTTTTTTACTAACACAAAGCTGTCTGTATCACTGTACAACCCCGATTTTTTTACAAACACAAAGCTGTCTGTATCAATCTACAACCCCGAATGTTTTTACTAGCACAAAGCTGTCTGTATCACTGTACAACCCCGATTTGTTTACTAAACACAAAGCTGTCTGTATCACTGTACAACCCCGATTTTTTACCAACACAAAAAGCTGTCTGCATCACTGTACAAAACCGATTTGATTACTAAACACAAAGCTGTCTGTATCACTGTACAACACCGATTTTTTTACTAACACAAATCTGTCTGTATCACTGTACAACCCCGATTTGTTTACTAAACACAAAGCTGTCTGTATCACTGTACAACACCGATTTTTTTACTAACACGAATCTGTCTGTATCACTGTACAACCCCGATTTTTTACTAACACAAAAAGCTGTCTGCATCACTGTACAAAACCGATTTGATTACTAAACACAAAGCTGTCTGTATCACTGCACAACACCGTTTTTTTTACTAACACAAAGCTGTCTGTATCACTGTACAACCCCGATTTTTTTACAAACACAAAGCTGTCTGTATCAATCTACAACCCCGAATGTTTTTACTAGCACAAAGCTGTCTGTATCACTGTACAACCCCGATTTGTTTACTAAACACAAAGCTGTCTGTATCACTGTACAACCCCGATTTTTTACCAACACAAAGCTGTCTGTATCACTGTACAACACCGATTTTTTTACTAACACAAAACTGTCTGTATCACTCTACAAAACCGATTTGATTACTAAACACAAAGCTGTCTGTATCAATGTACAACACCGATTTTTTTACTAACACGAATCTGTCTGTATCACTGTACAACCCCGATTTTTTACTAACACAAAAAGCTGTCTGTATCACTCTACAACCCCAAATATTTTTACTAGCACAAAGCTATCTGTATCACTGTACAACCCCGATTTGTTTACTAGCACAAAGCTGTCTGTATCACTCTACAACCACAATTTTTTACTAACACAAAAAGCTGTAGGTATCACTCTACAACTCCGATTTTTTACCAACACAAATCTGGCTGTATCACTGTACAACCCCGATTTTTTCCAGATTTTTTTACTAACACAAAGCTGTCTGTATCTATGTACAAGACCGTTTTTTCCCCGAGTGTTTGTCTCTTGACGCAAACAACTTATATGGCAAGGCCATGTCTCAGTGTTTGCATCTTGATGCAAATAACTTATATGGCTAGGCCATGTCTCAGCATTTGTCTCTTGATGCAAATAACTTATATGGCAAGGCCATATCTCAGTGTTTGTCTTTTGATGCAAATAACTTATATGGCAAGGCCATGACTCAGTGTTTGTCTTTTGATGCAAATAACTTATATGGCAAGGCCATGACTCAGTATTTGTCTCTTGATGCAAATAACTTATATGGCAAGGTTATGACACAGTGTTTGTCTTTTGATGCAAATAACTTATATGGCAAGGCCATGTCTCAGTGTTTGTCTCTTAATTCAAATAACTTATATGGCAAGGTCATGTCTTAGTGTTTGTCTCTTGGTGCAAATAATTTATATGGCAAGGCCATGTTTCAGTTTTTGTCTCTTGATACAAATAAATAACATATATGGCAATGGCATGTATCTTTCCGAACTGAATCGGACCAGATTTTTCGGTTATCTTCACACCTCTAGTTTTTAGTTCTGTACCTGGATGATAAGCTAACGGCCTATAATTTTGTCTCAAAAATATCCCGTTAGTATTTTAATCTCACCTGATGCTTCGTGATAAAAAATAATAAAAGTATGATTTAAATTGGCATTCTGTTAATTACGTTTTTTTTAACCCGCCCTTATGACAGTGTGTATCTGGATCCGGATCCGAAGATCCGGATCCGAATTTTTCAAGATCCGGATCCGGATCCGGTACCGACATTTTCTTGGATCCGCCCATCACTACTTAATAATAAAATGTGTACCATTAAATTAAAACTGAATGACGATAATTTATCATTCTCACTAATTTATATCTGGTCAGGGGGTAAAATTCCGGGGCGTAAAATTCCGGGGGGTAAAATTCCGGGGCGTAAAATTCCGGGAGGTAAAATTCCGAGGGTAAAATTCCGGGGGTAAAAATCCGGGGGGTAAAATTCCGGGGGGTAAAAATCCGGGCCGTACATTCTAGGTTTTTATAATTTGATGTGTTCTAATTAAACTCACAACCGTGAGAATATATGTTTAATTCCGCGTTTAATCCATCGAGCTGATGTCGCGAAACTCAAAAGTTCGCGGCCGGAATTTTACCCCCTGGTTTGTGACGTCACGTTTGCCCAGGGGGTAAAATTCCAAGGGGATAAAAATCCGCTACCCCCAACAAACCGGAAAGATCAAATGTCGCACAACACCTGTTACAAAATGGCCACTCACTAGGAAAAATGGAGGATAGTGTAGATATTTTAAAGAATTGTAAGAAAGGATACGTAATGAATGCTTGGGAAGAATTGTATATTTATAAGGAAAAATGTAAAAATAGAAATAAGTTGATTAATGAACAAATACATTTTGATTCCAGTTGTACTTATAAAAATGTACTGGCCGGTGCTTCCGGTAGCAAATAGGGTATAAGTAGGGACGCCATTAAGATTCTTGTCATTCGCCTATTGGGTCTGATGATGATTGGAGTGTCCAATCGAAATCGATCACCACTTACCATCTTTTTTGTATATTTACCGTCTTGTGAGTAACAGTATAAGCGCAAATATATGTTTTAAGTGTTATAAGACGTTTCTTTTATTTACTTTCCTTTGAATTTTCAACATAGATATCTTGTTAGTTAAAGTGAAAAGGTTAGTGTTGCCGTTAACATACTTCAATGGTTAAATGCGTTATGATAAAGCCGCTAATTATAAACTACTAAAGCTGTGTTACATACCTGAGTTGACAGTGTATCTCGTCTTGGCGGATGTGCAATAAGCTTCAATCACGTTCAGAATCTGAGCGTCTTCAGCAAACCCTCTTTCACCTGCAATAAAAAGTTAAAGTTAATAACAAGCATAATACAATATTTTTTACAATATTTTATACTGCTGTAAACTCTAGCCTATATCAATTTGTCCTATCAGATAATATGATGTTAATCCCACCAAGAACAAGTTTATGAATTTTAGCATAAAACAAAATTCTCTGGATATTGAATATTTCCTAGATGGCAGCCTGTTCTGGAAGTCTAACCAAAAGAGGCCATGGTGTTTTGTTGACTTGTCATTTAAGTTTGGACCGCACATTCACCACATCTCCACCAAGACCTCAGACATGCTCGAAATGATCTCCTGCTCTGCAAGACACTGTTTGAGCATCCATGTCTCGACCCAGTGTAGGCTAAGTCCTTTGTGTGCCAACCTAGAGAACTACAGTGTAGTCTGGTCACTCTGGTTGCCTTACTACTACCAGGTCAGCCTTATTCATTACCTTCATTTCGTCCACATACGGGAAGAATGAGCGTGCAATTTGTAGAAAATCTTTAAATTCAATTCAGTTGTTTCATGCACGTAGTAATTTTGAATACATTTTTTTAAATCTATTCTCTTACTTCAACTATAAAACTGGCTGGACAAATTATTAACACTCTTTAAATTTTTACTCACTTAACACAACTTGTGATATAAAACCTAAATAAGTAGATTGATAAGATAAAACGTAGCTTATTAATGAAGTAAATTTGTCGTCCAACAGATCTATAAAAAAAGTAATTTTAAACTTACTAGTTTTCTTGCGGCTAGACTTCTCATCTCTAAAACGCATAGGGGGTGAGGGGCGCAATGAGGAAACACTCCAAGGACGGCTGGGGCTACTCCCGCTGATCATCTGTAAAACCATACAAGATCATTAGATTCAATTCCACAGATTCAAAATATTGTAGTTTGAAAATATAAATATATACAATTAAAATACTAAAATATCAATGTCATAGGCTAAAAAATTTACAAAGAATAAGAACATAGCTGAGGCACGTAGTTTAACTTTTGACCTGGGACGAAAATAGAAAATAGGATCTACTCTGAAGAAGCGGGGGGGTTGTTTGGGTTCCGTGAAACGCCGGACTTGATTTTCTGAGAAGATTCTGTGTAATGAGTGTAGGGTGTGTGTATGACTTCGAACCTGACGAGTCCTGGGTAGTTGGTATCATCAGATAAAAATAAAGGTGAAAGTAGCACACTAAATATTTAGTTTCATCAAAGTGGAAACCACCTTGTTAATTCTCGGGAATGCCGCCTCCTTGGATGATTGAAGACTGTTTGTCGTGTCCTCTTTTGATGTCTCAACATGCATTACTTGTATTTTAAATTCAGTTATGGTTTTTCTAACCCTTATATTTTTTTATCCGATGCACCTTGTTCCTTCTCCTTTACCAATTTCAACCTTTTCAACTGTTTCAAGTTTTGACATCAGCGTGGTACCAAACTCAACCCATATGAGGGATTTTACTGTCATTATTGGATTCGATGACCTAATAATCATCTGAAATTTCAAGAATAGTCCCTGGATTACTTAATTTAAATATAAGAAGACTGGTAAAAAGTGTCATATAGTAATAAGAAACAATTGGAGTGATATAGGCCTAAACCATATGCAGATAAACAAAATGATTTGGAATAAATTAATGAACAATAAGTATATTTTCATTTGTTTCTTTTGATACTTTGACAGTCACGTAGGTAAAACCTTTCTAAATCTCATATGTTATTGAAATATGTAAATTAACTTAAAAGCTAAAAAAATCCAAACACTCGACTTCTTGTATTTACAGTATCTAGAATTTTTCAGATAACTACACCATTACATGAATCAACCAAATGTACAAACTGTGCACCCACACTTGCATCAAATTGTTCAAGATTCTACACACAATGTAACATGTAGATACCCTTTTAATGTTCAGAATGAATGTTTATGAATTCGATGTATAATTCTAATAAGCCTTTGCTGTGGTTATTGTTACTAACAAGACGTCACAAGTACATGAAAATAATGACTGTGATTTTTAACAAAAACACTCCAAAACACTAACTAAGATGATTCTGTCGAGTGAGATATGCTGTATTGTGACAGATGAAGCATGCCATTCATTAGCTAAACCAACCAAGCAAACACACACAAACTCGAGGTTATTCACACCAAAGCCAAGTTAGAGCGTGTGTGCTTGCCTGGTGGCTGCGTCACAGCGGCTGCAGGAATCCTCATTTTGAGACACCAGTGAGCGTACATGGCTGAGCGGTAGGTGGGGGTAGAGGAAGAGCTTGTAGGCTGTGGGGATGTTCTAGGGGTTGATCCGAACGGCGAAGAACACAAACACTGGGCCTCGTAGTTCCCCGAGCCCTCAGACTCCGCAGGTAGTGAGTTCTCGGGCGCCGGGGTAATAAGTTCTGGAGAAGCCAAGATATCCGCGAGGCCCGAGTCAGTCGAGCGGTGACTACTCATAGAACTTTTCCCTTGCACAAAGTGGTAGCTAAAACTCCTGTGAAGAGGGCGAACTCTCTCCGGTGAGTTCTCTTTTGCTTCCATAATCCTAATCGGACTCGGGGGAAGTTCAAGGCAAGAGGAATGTGAAGGTTCCAAGAAGTCAGGTTTGTCGAGAGCCGGCAAACTCTGGTAGTGACTTCTCAAAGACGAATGAGCCAGAGTCCTCGGCAAGGTCGTAGAGCCGTCTATCTGTGTTAAGTCGTTGCAGCCAGCGGCCACTGGTCTACTGATAGTCAGAGTGCTACGGTAAGGCCCATTGATGTATCCTAAACAGCTGCTGGCTTCACTCCTCGTACACTCTTCAGATTTAGTTTCCCTACCACTATAAATACTCTCACTATCCGAACTCTCTGTCACCCAAGTCCTAACTGCTTCTTGCGGGTAGATGACACACTCCACACGGTGACTCCTGCGTTCTCTCCGTCGTCTGCACACAAACTCGGTGTTGACTTTGAGAAACTCGCTGTACAACAATCGTTTCAACAGTCTCCTGGTGATGACACCACGACGGACCAGTCTAGCGAAGTACGCTGTTAGTCTAGAGTATGGGGTGCTCTTGTGACTTACTGAGGTGTGCGGAGGAGGCTGGGGTCGCAGGGAGGGTGCTGGTGATGACACTCTGATGTTGCGGATCTGTTGACGGATCAGCTCCACCCAAGTCTGCTGGTCCTCCTTCGCCTGACACACAGCTACTATCCTCTCTATCATGGGACCTGCGGCAGTGGATACAGTTGTGTAATTGGGAATGTTGCTGGAAGTCAACAGTCCCGGAAGATCAAATAATTTATACCTGTGCCGCTAGGTCAAAAACTACAATGTTTGCAGTGTCTGTAGATCAAAAGTCCCAGTAAGTCAAATAATACAGTCCGAGCTAAAAACGTGGTCTATGTTAAAGCAATTGACTTATTGGGAATTTGACCTAATGCAACAGCAGTTTTAATATAACGAAATACGGTAAAATACAAGTTCAGTTTCGCTGAGTCAACAGTGCCGGAAGATCAAAAGCAATAAAAGTGAACGTCGATTCAGTGTAAAGTAGACCTCCTGCAACGCTTACTACACCAACAAAACTCGCTTTTAGTTACTTCGTGTTTTGTCATAATTAGAATAGAGCTAAAATTATCATATTTGGTACACAGTTATCTATTAATGCTTCTTGCCAACTGTTTGGTCAACACTGTAAATAGGTATAGTTTATGTAATGAAAAGCCTTTCGTCAAAATTTGTGGCATGAAATACACGCAAGGACGATCTGAAAATTTCTGGTTATTATATACGTTTGTAAAAGGAGACCCATTTAATTTTAGAACTATTTTATGAGTTATAATGTAGTCTACACATCAACTGTGTAAATGTATTACGCCTCGGAAGGGTTGAAACCTGTCCAAACTATCATATATATTATTAAAACGTAAATGGGGGTTTTTCACATTCTGAATCAACCAGTCGACGGATTTTCATTATTTTTGTGTTGAAAGAAAGATAATTTTGAGAACTAGGGAATGTCAAAGCCATAATTATAATTAAGGGTCCCAGTTTTTTTAGAAATTAAGTTTTAATTTTTAAAAAGTCTAGCAGCCGACGCTAACCTTCTTAAGCTAGCTTTTAGTACAATATAATTTGCTTAACATAACAGCTGTAAACATTCAGCATTTGTGACACAAATTCAGCATTTGGAAACAAATTTAAAGACATATTTAGAGTTGACCTATTTATACTATGTTAATGCTGACCATTGATACATTCAATTCTTAGGTATGAGGATGGCAGATTAATTAAATATGCATAGTAAAATAGTAGGATGTTCAAATGATTTTTTAAATGAATCTTTGTTCTCATTGATTTGTTTTAGTCCCATATAATTTGTTTTAACTAACAGCTGGTTGAATGTAATATTGTTCTATATAACTATTAGGTTTTTGGCGAATTTCCCATATTGGGAATAAGCTATTACCGTAGTACTTATGGTAACACCTGGACCCGGGACCGATTAAATTTTTCGTTTTGAGGTCCCTAGAGGCCAAAAACACCATCCGTTCAAATTCATATATACAGGGTGATCAACTCAAGGAGGCCACCATTGGGAAATCGGAAACGGTAAGAATTAGAGAAAACTTTAAATTTATTTTTTGTGGCAGTTAAAAATATGATTTTAGTTTTTTTATCATGTTTTTGGATAGAATATGCAATTTAAAAACTTTTTTAGCCTTGACATTTTTTCGATAAACCCACTCGTTTAGGAGTACAGCCTATGGAAAAATGACTTCCGGTGTACATTTTACATCATGTAGCTCCTAAACGAGTAAGTTTAGAGCAAAATCGCAAAAAGTAAATTAGTCTTAGAATTGCATCTACATTCCTTAAAGAATGGAGATGAGTGTGTGATGAGTGGGCTGTAGGCGGAAAAATACGAACAAACTAAACTATTTATTAACAAAACTTTTTTGTGTTGAAATTTAAAGACAATGGTCTCAAACTCTACACCGAATAATGCTAATTCATAATGGTTATTATATCTATGATCGATAATGTAGCCATGTTGCTTTGAAATGGCAACCATACAAATGTATGCATTTTAAGCCAAGTATGAATGGAGATGAGTGTGGGATGAGTGGAGCGATCTTGTTGTCCTGTTTGTGACTAAGGCCGACATAATCCTTAGACACAGCTGTTAATTAATAGTGCAAACAGCCAATTAATAGCAGCAGAGGTCAAGTTTGGTATCAAATTAAAGGTTTTATTCATATAAATACATTGCCGCAAACCCAAACTCAAACGATGATGATGATAAGTCGCTAAAACGTATCGTTTGAAATTTAACAGCTGAAAATAAGTGAAATAGAAAAGGTTTTGGTTAAATCCATGTAATTGGACACTAGTAAATACTAGTGCACTTGTTGCTACCTCTCCCCTTCGGTTTCATGTATTCCTCTCAATCAGTTCAAACCTAGGAGGATTAAACATTAATGTTACCTAATTAATGTTAAATCCTCCTAGATTCAAACCTGAAACGCCCAGTTCGAAACTCGCCTGTCGTTATTTTACCATTGCCTTTTTTTTAAATATTTTTTTCAAAAAAGAAAGATTATATTGATTTACTTTGGATTTTAAAAATGTTAACGTTTTATTTTGTTAAAGATTTCTGGTGATACGTAAATATTGTGGTGTAGTAAAGTATATTATATTGTAGTTAAGTGTTAAATTTTGAAATTTTAGGGTTAATCGAGATGAATCTTTTTTTTTAACATGGGTCTCTCCTACCTTAACATACATACCAAGTTTCATAAACATCGGTTGGAAAAGTGCAAAGATAAATATTTGTATGTAAAAAATACAAAATGGTGAATATCTGGTTAACAAAACGATTTCGGAAAAAATGTTATCCTTGATTTTCTGTTTATTTTGACCCAAGGAATTACTAGGTAAAGTATCTCCCCGCTTATTTTTAACACCCTGTTTATGATGTATTCTTATAAGTGAAAAATGTAAGCTGGTAATACAGAAAGATGTTTTATAAATAATATGAATGTATTGGTGATCTGTATATTCATCTTTTTCTTGTTCTTAGAACTGTAAATTAAAAGTCCACTCAGCAGTCGCATCGTACGATGTAGTTCTTTCCATGCGTTGCAAAATGCTAAATTTGCCGTCCTCTTCAACCCAAGTTATCTATTGAACCACTGATTGTAAAAAATTCAAAAAAATATATTTTACGCATCACACTTTTGGCTACAACTTTGTCACAGACAAAACCTCTCTAACCCAAAAACAAAACAAAATCTCGCATGCTAACTTTTTCATGTTAGAAATCATGATTTACAACTATTTCACCATACATATCAATTTTTATTAATTAGATCGTTAAATAGTTTAAAGTTCCAACAAAATAGTCATCGAGTAGGACTAACCAAGAAGCTCTGTGCCAATTTTCAAAATTTTAGCACAACTTTAAGTACACCAAAACGCAAAATTATTGAAGTCTTGCGTCGAGAGGACTATCGTTGTTTTTAACAGATTATACTTTTGACCTTCCGGCACTGTTGACTCAGCGAAACTGAACTTATATTTTATCTTATTTCGTTATATTAAAACTGCTTTTGCATTAGGTCAAATTCCCAATAAGTCAATTGCTTTAACATAGACCACGTTTTTAGCTCGGACTGTACTATTTGACTTACTGGGATTTTTGATCTACAGACACTGCAAACATTGTAGTTTTTGACCTAGCGGCACAGGTATAAATTATTTGACCTTCCGGGACTGTTGACTTTCTGCAACGCGTCCCGTTTTTAGCCCGGACTGTACTATTTGACTTACTGGGATTTTTGATCTACAGACACTGCAAACATTGTAGTTTTTTACCTAGCGGCACAGGTATAAATTATTTGACCTTCCGGGACTGTTGACTTTCTGCAACGCGTCCGTGTAATTTTTGTGAATAATACAAATTAGAGGACAAAAGCTCTTTACTCCCTCGTTGAGAAGTTTCTGGATTGAACATACCAAACCACAAACTGCCCTTAAAGTTACTATGCTATGACATTGTGTAATTCTTTGGTATTTAACAGATAATTTGTTAGTTGAATTCTCAAATCATACTTCATACTACTGTAATATTATAAATGTGAAAGTTTGTGTATTTGTTTGTTTGTGTAGCGACTCGTTACAAGAACACAAGTGCAACGCGTAAAGTCAATCTCACCGAAGCAGGCACGCGCGCCAAGGAACGACGGAGTAGAGTAGTGTCGTGTGAACCTCCAGCGGTGCATCAACGTTCGGATAAGTACTAGGATTAAGACTATGACTAGATAATTCAGTAGGGGCTGGGGAAAGGTGTAGGCTAGGACAAATTAATTACTAATTATGTAATTTATTAGGTTCACCAAGTGGTCTTGGTCTGGTAATTAATATTCCAAATTTATACAATTAATTTTTGAATTCAATTTTGCTAAATATAGTTTCTTTTACGAATCAGAATAAGTCCGGATGTATAATTATTTCTCTGTTCACTATATATTAATTAGACATATTAAATAACATAAAAGCTGGCTGTGATATTATTGTGCACTTTGACCAGGTAGTTAGCTTCTTTCCAGTAGAGTTGAACAACGACAGGAAATGTGAGTGATTTTGTAGTGGTAAGAGGAAGATATATAGGGCCCAGGTATCTTAATTTACATTCATACTACTCTATTTCACCACATTTGCTTGAAGTTCAATCACGCATTAACTACTGGTTGGATTGGGTTGAAATTTGGTAAGATGATAGCTCACATTCCCGATAAATATATAGACATAATTTTATCTCAAAAATCCTTTTGGGCTTCGCCCCAGTGGCTCTAGAGTTTCCTACATGTTAACCTTATAAGTATTCATATTTAAAAGGAATTAATGAGTTTTGCCAGCTGATTCAACTACACAAGTTAACAAGGCCTTCCCGATTAGAACCTCTCCCCCCCTCCAACGCGCCGTGCCGTACGCTTCCGAATTATACCGTCGCATCAGCATAGTTCGCGGCAAATTGTTACCTCTATCACTGTCGCTGTCAAAACGTATTGTTTGTAGGTTAAATTTAAATTTAATTTAATTCAACTGTCATAACCTAACCAAACTTGCTGATGATGAAAAAATCAAATAAAGGTTTACTAATAAAAAAAAATAGTTCTGTTCATAAAATTAAATTATAAATGCCTCAAATTCTAACAAAAGATGTACAAGAAGTAATCGCATTCTAAGCTAAATCTTTGACAAAAAGTCAGTGCCACCAGTGGGATTCGATCCGCCTACCATCAGTTCTTTAGCCCGGTACGCTATCCACTCCACCACCTAGGCCGATGGCTCTCCGTATTGTTGTGGTAATGGTGTTCCCTCAAGATAAGAGACTGATGACACGCCATGAGAGCCCCGTTCAGGATGGCGCGATGGTGGGGGGTGTTCCAATCGGGAAGGTTTCGTCACAAGTTGGTTTTATGAAATTCAATAGCATTTCATTATGGCCTAGAGGTTGAGATACGAAAGAACAGAGAGCTACGAGGAATGTTTAACATATATGGCTGCTTTCCAGTAGGGATGGACGAGATTGGATTTTTAGTTCGAGACGAGACGAGACAAGATTTTTTATTTCTCATAAAATTTCGAGACGAGATCGAGACGGGATTTCCCTTCTCATACACAACGGGAAATGCACGTTCAAAATTTTTACCTGATTTTGTAACATTGTTAGATGACTGTTTAAATACAAAAATAATGATAATAGGCAAGAATATTTACAATCTTTTATTAAAAAACATCAGCATAACATTTTTTTATTAATCACGCCTAACTTAATAAAAATGCCTACGATTAGGAAACATAGCGATATCAGTTAGGATAGAGTTCAACTTATCCTAAGATAAAATAAATCATAAAATAAAAGCAATATTAATTTTTATAAAATAGTTACTTGTTTTGACTTTTTATAGTAATAAAACATTCCTCACACTGCTTACACTTAACAAAACTTCTCAAATGTTATTAAAGTAATATTATTAAAATAATTAAAGTAATATTTACATTTAAAGAATTAATTAAATAAGAACGCCTTTGCAAAGGAAACGCAACTACAACACGCTCCTGTATTGCGGGTATTGCATTGACTTTCTGCAGGCGTTTTTAATTTTTTTTTTTTTTTTTTTTTTTTTTTAATTCTCGTCTTGATAAAAATCTCGGCCAAAAAGAAATCTCGTCTCGTGTAACGAGATTTAAAATTTCCCGAAAATTTCCCGAAATTTCGAGACTTGACCATCCCTACTTTCCAGAAGTAAAAGGCTCTAATGGACAGGCTATGCGTGAAGGAGAGAAGATACTTTAACTTTTTAAAATGTATTCCAAAGAGTAACACAAGTAAGACGACCACTTGGAGGACCAACCAATGAAAGACTTCTCCAGACTGGGATCAACATTTGCAGAGGCAAGGGATGAGATTGGGAGGCCAAAATCCTCTTAAGGTTTCAGTGGCCACTGAGGTAAAATAAGGTACGCTAAGTGATAATATGCATATGGAAGGTGTTAACGTAGGTAGCTACTGTACTTTAAACCTATGTGTGAATCGACCGCCAATCTCACATCCAAGGTATTAGTTTACAAAATGATTTTCCTTATTAAAACTGCCAGAATTTTTCTTTAGGCGTGTAAACTAGCTGTTCTAAATTATATTCCGTTTTAATGGACTACTTTATTGCTGTTTGTACGACGGGCTAGCTGCTAGTGTTATGTTATAATTTTACACTAGTTGTTGACAACTTTCTACCTTTTCTCCTAACTTTCAATGTTTTTTTATAAACTACAATAAAAATACAATACAATAAAATACAATAGGCAATTTTGAAATAATAAACCTATGAAATAATCTTACCTGCAATTTCAAATGCATTTTTGTAGTTTTCTGTATCTTCTAGTTTATTAATACTGATTCCTGTCAAAGGAAGTTTTCCCTGAAAAGGAACATAAAGCAAAAGTTAATTATTTTCAAAAAGCTTCTAGCTTTTCTCAGGATTGAACTGGCAACCTTCTTTTTACCATTCAAATTACAAAACTATGATGTATCTAGGGCAGATAATGGCCTCTATATATCTACGTTCCATTCTACTAGTGTTGGATTACACAGGATTGTGTTTATACCCTATGGTAAAACCAATAATTGTTAATGTATTTTAAAAGAAAGAATGGTTTCACAAGAAATGTATTCCAGTCAGTTGACACAACAAGTTCACAATCAAATTTGTTTAGTGTTTTGTCCCTACAAGAGGACCTCTTCAGACAGAAGTTACTGTACAGTAACTGTCTAAATCAGCCTTGCCAACACACAGGTTTCTAATTACTGTATACTAAATAGTGATGGGTCGGTACTTAACGTCAAATGACGGTTCTACCGGTTCTTGGGAAAAGTACTGGGACCGAGAATCGATGGTGAAATGTCGGTACCGATACCTTCGGTAGCAAGTTAACTGGTTATATTTTATTTACAAAATTAAAATTGTCAACCATGATGATTATTTTTTACTTAAGACTATTTGAAAGGGCATATTTATCATGAAATATTATCAATAGTAGGCTATAGTATGATTATTTCACTGTTAGTTGGTTAAGTTGTCGTCACTATCGTCAGCTGATAGAGTGGTGCAAACATCGACACAAATTGCTCCACCATCTTCAAGCAGAAGACAGAACCAGAGGCAAGCTTAATAAAGACTGGATCAAATAAATTATTTATTTGGACTCAACAAAATTATTACACTATTCTACAGTAGACTCCCTCTAATTCGGCCACCTCGGGACCGGACCACTGGCCGGATTACAAAACGGCCGGAGTAACCGGATTTAGTGCATTTTACATAATCAAATTACAAGTAATAGTATTGCGCAATCGTGATATGTTAAGTCATCAACCTTGGTTCAGTAATAAAAACTGTAACGTTTAAAATCACGCTTACTCAAGTAAAACAAAAATTACACAACACTGTGCGTACAGCAATAAATCACGTAAAGAACAGAACAATAGAAAGTCTAGTACTGCAAGCTACTGCTACTGTATTCAGCATAGGCTACTACTACATGTTGTTTCAGAACATGTAGAAGAATGTCGATAAAAAAACATTAAATAACTCATAAAACAGCATAAAATACTTACTTAGTCTAAACTTACTACTAAGTACTAAGTACTTAGTATAAACTTAAGTACTTAGTCTTAAAGATAATAACGACAGTCGTAAAATAGGATAAAGATAACAATGGATGACGTAAAATACCGCTTATTCTTTGTTCTTTGTTCTTCTATTCTTTCTTTGGTTTTTCTTCATCCACACATTCAACAAGTTGTCATGGACTAATCACCCAATCACAAACTGTTGTGTGATAGAAAGCGCACAGCAGACATCAGTTGTGTAAAGAGCAGATGATTGTCAGTGCAAGCAGATAGCTTGACCTTGAAGCTAAGGATGGCTATTTCTTGGTTTGCTTTAATTTCTTTTTGTCAAATAAACCATGGTGTTTCAAGAACAATAATGGGGGAACCTACCACATAAAAAATGGTCCAAAATATTTAATTATACCTGCATTTCAACATATTAGACTGAAGAAAAACTATTTATTAACCCTTTCGGTGCTATGGAACGATATATCGTTCCTCGTCTAATTCCCGAAAAGTGCTAAGGAACGATATATCGTTCCTCGTCTAATTCCCGAAAAGTGCTAAGGAACGATATATCGTTGTTCAGAACTTTCTTTATTGTAGCGCTGTTTTTTTAAATATTGAAACGCAAGTTGCATTAAATTCAAGGTAAATAAATATCCTTTCAGAATATAGTATACATTTTGACACTTTATATAGTACAAGTGTCATATTTAGAGCTTTGAAATACAGAGGGCCGTGGCCGCCGCGACGTCTGTTGACTACTACGCCGTAGCAGAGGACAGCTGTTGTTGTTGTTAGTTACTCTGTTTGTTATTATTGTTTCTGACTCAGTTCGGTTTTCTGTTGATGTTTATTATTATTCGGTTATGTGAATTATTGTTTTATGCTTTTATGTAATAAATTATGAGTAATTTACGATCTAATTCACCTGTTAGTGAAAATACGCTCGCAAGTTTTGCTAGGGAAGCGGGACTAAATATTGATTTTGATGAAAGTGACGAAGAAAACAACTACGATGTTAGTAGTTTGGACTCTGACTCTAGTGCTTCTGTGGTTGATGATACCGACGAGGATCCTTCGTTCAACCCAGATGACCCTCAACCTTGCACATCATATAGGCCTAGAGGTAACACACGTTCGCCTTTGTTTGAAAGCAGAATTCCAGCTCATGATAGTTCCGAGTCTGAGGCAGATGAGCCTTTACAACCGACTAGGCCTATGCCGGCAAGAGGCTCAGGATCTAATAGAAGAGGGTCTAGGGGCAATAGAGGGTCTAGGGGCAGCAGGCCTAGAGGAAATAGAGGTAGAGGTAGGAATGTCCCTATAAATACACCTGGACAAGATCCTGAAAATGACGATAACTCTTGGGATGAAGTAGAAGAAGGCAGTGATGAGCCGTATAACCACCCATTTCAGTTTTCCGAAATTTGTGGGCCCAAACATTGTCCACCAGTAAACTCTAGGCCCCTTTCCTATTTTAGTTTGTTTTTTACTACCACCTTACTCGAAACATTTGTCCGTGCAACCAATCAATATGCCGCAGACTACATTGCAAGGGAGCAGCATGGTTTGTCCCCATTCAGCCGAATAAGTAGGTGGGTAAATGTTACCGTTGTCGAGATGAAAGCCTTTTTGGCCATTATCATAAATATGGGACTGATACGTAAGCCTAGTATCAAGAGTTACTGGGACACTCATTTCAGCCAAGCCACACCTTTTTTTTCAAAAATGATGCCCCGTGATCGTTTCCAATTGATTTTAAAATTTTTTCATATTGTGGATGTTCGTAACTTACCTAAATTAGGGGAGCCTGGGTATGACCCTTGTAGCAGGTTTCAGCCAATAATTGACCACGCTAACAGACTTTTCAAACTATATTACTACCCTTCTCAGGCATTATCTGTCGACGAATCCCTGGTGGGTACAAAAAAACGTGTTTCCTTGACTCAATACCTCCCCAAAAAGAAGCACCACAAATGGGGAATAAAGTTGTGGGTTCTTTGCGACTCAGTCACCAAATATTGTGTTCAGTTTTACCCTTATAAAGGAGCACAGAGAAATGAAGAAAATGAAAGAGTTGTGGAAACAGGTTTAGCCTCTAACGTCGTAATGACATTGATGAGAATGGCGGGATGTCTGAACAAAGGGCACCATCTTTACTTAGACAATTTTTTTACTTTCATTTCCCTTGCTAAAACCCTGTATGAGAACCAGACATGGCTTACTGGTACAATAAGAAAAGACAGGGTGGGTATCCCTAGACAGCTTTTAGGGAGATATGCTGTAGGCCAGAAGAAGTACGTTAGGAAAGGGCCTCTGCTAATGATGGCTTTCAGAGAAAAACCCACTAATGCTTCACAATTCATTCTTTTATCCACTGATAGTCATGCAACAACAGTAAGATACTCAATAAGAAGATGTGGTAGATTGATTGTAAAAAATAAAACAAAACTTCAATTTCAGTACAATAGAGGCATGGGTGGAATAGACTCGACAGATCAAATGCTCTACGTGTATTTAGATGAGCGAAGAACTATGAAGCATGTAAAAAAAGTTATCTTCAATGTCATTGGCCGTATGATATTGAATGCATATATCCTTTACAAACTAAACACAACAAATGGCAGAAAGGAAAGAGCGGACTTCATGAGGGAAGTCGTTGAAGACCTATCGAACGAGTGGTTAGCGACAAAATGTGTTCCTGCGACCATCGGGGGTGACGGAGATGGCCCACAGAATGTTTTTGGACTCAGAAAACTTCCTGAGAAGAAAGAAAAGATCTGTAAACATTGCTCAGGAACCAACAATCCAGAGGGGAAAAAAAGGAGATCCCGGACCGTGTGTGTGCGTTGTGAGGCGGGGGTACATGCAGAATGCCTTGTGTCCCATGTTTGTCAATAAGACATGAAAAAACCCTGTAAATAGTGTAAATATGTTTTTCAAATAATGAGTTTCTAGGCCTAGAGCCTTCATAGACTTAGTAAGACAGAATGTTTGTGTTATTTTTTGTGACCGACAGCAAAGCAGCCAGCCTCTCACTCGCCAGGCTTTTGTACGTTCAGGTAATGATTTTCAAATTATTTTTATAACTCTTGTAAAAATAAACTAATGTATATGAAATTTTCAGGATTACTTCATTATAAAGTATACTTTTAGGAAAAAATGCATTTGATATCAACAGTTTTGGTTTTCAATAATGTTTTCAAGTTTGAAATTTGATTTTTTATAATTTTTTTTTTTTTTTTGTAAACTACATACATACATAGATAATAATTTTTTTTTGTAATATCCATAAACATACATATTGTAATAGATAATTTTATACTTAACAAAACAAAACAAATTCCAAGTCATTATCTTATATAACAAGCAAAATATGGTTATTTTAGCAAAAGTCTGCAAAAACGCAATTTTTACCCTAGCACTTTTCGGATAATTCTTGTAAAAAATGCTAGCACTTTTCAAACAAAATTCAAAAAAATGTCTAGCACCGAAAGGGTTAAATGTTTTTGGTACTTTTGAGGTTATGTAACATAGTTTTACATAGGTAATATGCAACAATTCACCCATAGAAGCACCCGTCAACTAAACTGACATGAATTGTTTACTTATGGCCGGAAACTAAACATTCAAGTTGAATCCTGTCGAAGGTCATTCGCCCGCGACAATATGACTTGTCCCCCCCTTGAGACCAGGCCGGACCATCCGGCGGCCGATCCAACCGAAGCCGGACTAGAGGGAGCCTACTGTACTTTAAAAACCATCTTTTCTTCACCTGAGGTTGCTTATTAATAACCTTAA